CTCTTTATTTGACAGAGTTATGAGGGGGGAACCAAATATTTTAGCCACCTGAAATAATCCGTTCCCCCTCCATAAAATGGGAACAAATTAACTTACCAGAAAACCTTTTACTGTGCTTATTCCTCTCATCATCAACAACAAACCATGTAAGTTTGGTACCATTTGCTCTTTATTTGACAAAGTTATCAGGGGGGAACCATATATTTTAGCCACCTAAAATAATCTGTTCCCCCTCTGTAACATGGGAACAAATTAACTTATCAACAAGTCTTTAACTGTGTTTATTCCTTTCATCACCAACAATAAATCATGTAAGTTTGGTGCCATTTGCTCTTTATTTGACAAAGTTATGAGGGGGGAACCATATATTTTAGCTGGTTTTGCCACCTGAAATAATCCGTTCCCCCTCCATAAAATGGGAACAAATTAACTTATCAACAAGTCTTTAACTGTGCTTATTCCTTTCATCACCAACAATAAATCATGTAAGTTTGGTACCATTTGCTCTAAATTTGACAAAGTTATCAGGGGGGAACCATATATTTTAGCCACCTGAAATAATCCGTTCCCCCTCCAAAACATGGGAAAAAATAAACACACCTTGTGAATTTTGAAACTGTTGGTCATTATTTTTCTTTATATCGTTTGAAATATTTATTTTTTAATATTTTAAAATCAAAATGGTTAAAATAAATAGGACTGTTAGTTTGATGATCTTTATGAAAGGTATTTTCTGTTTAGATGTTTATCTATTTAAATATTTTTATATATTTAGAAATACATTTGGAGATATTACAACTAACGATGTACCTTACAATATAAACACATACGCTGTTTTCTGGACAGTCAAAAATCACGTGATGCTATTCCTTCAATCAATTATGCAAATGTGCAAGTCCGCTCTGTTGGTCAGGTTGTTTATCACGTTTTGCTTTATGTTAAGCCAACTATTGCATTAACTCGACACTTTTCATAAATATGGACAGTTTGGAATATGAAACGCTCTTTAACTATAAAGCTAAAGGCGAATATCCCCCGCAGTCAACAAAGCAAAAAAAATATGTCATTCGAAGGAAAGCCTCTTCGTACAAGATTGAAGGTAAGAATTTTTATCTTCCAGAGTGATACCTTGAAGGTAACCTCTACTTTAATATGTATCAAATAGTGGAATGCATTAGTTATCTAAAAAGCAGTTAGATAACACTCAATGCTTTTTTGTTATTGATTTCCTGCTGTATTAATTTCGATTAATATGTGTGCCCACACGATTGTTACTCCAAGTTATAATGCAGGAATAACGCACAATTTTATTGACTGTACTTGTTATTCATGTGAATTACACTTCTACTCCATTTCTACTTTTAAGTTGTGTTGTAGAAAGATTCCCATACTGCTACATTAATCAATAAAAGAAACAAAATCTAGCAAAGTGGCCAATTTTAAATGAATATGCATTTGATAATGTCTTTCTTTATGTTCTGTTTATTGCATGCTTCTTGTTTCAACTTCTATGTATAAGTCAGGTAGTAGTATACATTTGCCTATTTTTAGAATTATAAATGTATTTTAATAATAGAATTTCATGCTTCAGTCATATTTTTATTAGTGTCCTTTATCTTTTCCAAGGAAATTACCTCTTCTATGTTAGACACAAAGGCAGTCGTTCCACAACAAAGGTGAAAGTTGTTAAAGGTGCTGAGGAAGCCGAAAGAATATTTGTTGACTTCCATGCCAGCCCTACAGGTGCACATTGTGGACAAATAAAAACAACAGATGCCATCTCAAGAAGATTTTATTGGCCAGGAATGTCTGTGGACATCAAGAAATGGGTATGTTACATAAGCAATGGACTAAGGAAATAAGTAATACCAACTACAAGATTTAAATTTTAGAAAAATAAATGTCTAAGCATTATTTGTTTTACCAATAATAATTGTCCAATAACACTTTGCATGTGTTAAATTCTTGTTCACTAACTTCCCAGGTCTCTGAGTGCTCATCCTGTCAGGCCAGTGGCCAAGCACTGAAACAACCATCAGTGTATACTCCCATAAAGGTAAAGGAATACATAGTAAAATGAAAAACAGATTTAGTGAGACTACATGGTCGTGTGCAGCAGTGGTTGATTTTCCTGTTTTGTCTGTGCTCTCACAAAGGGCCTACATTTTGAACAAGTTGATGAATAAAATTAAGGAATGTATATTTATTATACTAAACATTTTACAATATACTGAGAAGCTATTATTTTTGCTTAACAAAATACTGCTTTTAAAAATTTTCCTGTGTTCTATTATTTTTATTTATTAATCTATTACGTCTTTCATTTAAGGTTTCCCATCCCTTTGAATTAATTGGGATGGACCTCATCGGAAAGCTGGCCGAAACAAAATCTGGACACAAGTATATTTGTGTCATGATTGACTATTTTACAAAGTGGCCACAGGCATATCCCCTAAAATCTAAATCTGCACCTGAAGTTACGGGATGCATAATTAAGTTTGTGCATCAGTTTGAAGCCCCAAAAAGGATTCTGACCGACCAAGGACGAGAATTTGTAAATTCCGTAAGTACTTGTTTTGAATCTCTTAAAGAAATTTCACACAATTAGTGTCCTCCTTCCCATTATTTTGTTCGATATGTTGTTGAAATATGCAGGCTATTTTGTCAGAGCTATTTGTTTGCAAATTTTCAGATAAACCAAGAAGTGTGCAAAATTCTTAATATAAAACGAAGCCTGTGTTCGCCCTACCATCCCCAAACAAATGGGTTGGTTGAAAAAATCAATGGGACCATTCAAAGGTGAGTACTATCTCTAATACATACATTTTCTAAGAAAGATCACAAAACAAGATGTGTATTTGCTAAACTACTTACATAATAAGGGTAATTGTTAGAAATCAGGTGTTATGTGTGGCATCTTACACTTTTCATGTATTTCAGAGCTCTGAGTAAGGTTGTGGATGGTCATCCACACACTTGGGATGAGTATTTGGATGCTGTGATGTTTGGGATTCGCACCAAAAAACAAATTACAACACAGTATTCCCCATACTTCCTCATGTTCGGAAGAGAGGCACGCTATCCCTCAGAAGTCCCTGAACATTACATGGTAGAGTTATGGTCAATCTTTCCATTTCATGGTATTGTATTTAAGTCAAAAATTCTTATTTTCAATTACCACTTGATTTTCTTCAAAAACTTTGATGTTTTCATGCGTAGTCAGCAAGACTTTGCATCTGAATTAAATTTCACTGAGGTCATGAATTAATGTAAAGCATCTACTTTAAGTGTATCATTCACAAAGAACTTTATTCTGAAAAGGTTTTCAGAATTTTTTCTATAAATTTGAAAATTGCATAAACCGTTTCAAGAGACATTGTCACTATATTCCTTTTCAGAATATGTTGTGATATCTCACTGTAGCATGCCATAAATATGATGAGTGTATGCTTTCTAAATGACAGATTTGAACTGACACTTGAAATATTAATTTTGTGTTGACAGATTGACGGTGCTGTGGAGGACGTCATTGGAGTGGAGGAGTTGGCAGAGGACCTTAAAATCCAAGAAAGCTTGAGGAGCATTGTCAGTGACAATGTATCCAAAAAACAAGAGAAAGCGAAGGGCAGAGCACAACAAATTGGGACTGTGTTTAAACCTGGTGACCGAGTGTGGAGGCAGAACACACGCAGTCAGCAGAGAAAAGGTGGGAAGTTGGATGCTGGTTTTCTTGGACCCTTTACAGTCATCAGTCTTCAAGGCAAAAATGCAGATATTCAAGA